TTTTTTAAATACCATCATTCCATTATAATAGGAAAAGGAGGCCGGGAATCCCTCCACATCTCAACCCGGAATGAAGAACCAAGCCTCAAAGAGGCTAACTGGAAACCGGGGGCCAGGTCCCACGAGCAGCGTTGAGTTTCCTCAACGCCTGAATCTGGATGTGTTCGTGGAGATGTGCCGTTCAACGCGATTTCTGCAGATATCCACAGACACGTCCAGATTCAGGCGTTGAGGAAACTCAACGCTGCTAGTGGGACCTGGCCGACCTGGCCCCGGGTCCAGTGTCCCTTACTCCGATCGACAGTCATGCTATTTCTGAAGAGAAAAGGGGGATTATCAGACAATTAAACCTACCAAAAGGCACAGAGGAACAAGCTAAAAAACTAACTCGCAATCCCTGATCCTACCAACATTCATATCCGGGTTTTCGCTTCCTGAGAGTCTATCTGCGACTCCCCTGAATTCTACTGAGATCGTCCAACTTGAATAGAAGGCCTGTTACCTAACCCGGAGGAGCGCTCAACCATTCTGCGTTTATCTCTTAATAATCAGGTCTTAATAATCAGGTAACCTTCAAAGTGAATCCGATCTGCCTAAACCGGCAGGAAGCGATTCTGAAAAACAACACTAAATGCACCTCCACCAAGAACAGAGGCACCTGGCTGCCCAAACTAGAACTATCTATAAGCTCAGAAGTACGTAGTCAACTCTCTCTCTCTCTCTCTCTCTCTCTCTCTCTCTCTGTTTTTCTTTTTTTCTCTTTTTTCTGTTGTAGAGGCTAGCCACCAGGCATATGACAGTCCCTTCAGTAGTTGGCCATTTGATCGTCCAAATGATTTTTCTACACAGGCCACGTCTGAGACTCTGCTTAGTAATGCTGGCAGGCATTTTCTCATTCGTTTTCTTGGCATCCTCTTGAGATTCACTCTGTATATGGGACGCTGGACCCGTTTTCCAGCAGATGAAAGCTTCCCACCAATAGATGGAGCCTCTTCCCGAGTAAAAAAAGAAAAGAAAAAAAAAACACTCTACTTAGGGGTACCAACAAAGGCAAAGGGTGATCCAGCGGCCTAGCTCAGTTGGTAAGGCACGCAAGTGGCATTCAGGAGGGCTTGGGTTCGATCCCCATTGGCCTCATGTACCTTCCTGGGCAAGTTTGGCGCCCGCCACCTAGAGAAATGCCATTGGAGTGGCATTGAGCAGAGACTGCTGATGCTCACAGGGGGAGGGGGCCGGAGGGGAGGCACAGTGACTGGCCCATCGAAGAAGCTCGGTCCTGATGCTACCGGCTGACCCCCGGCCGGTATCGCCCACCTGCTGTAGCAGGTATCGCACCTGCTGGTGGGTGCAGCCCCCGCATGTTCCCTCGTTGGAGGCTTGAGAGGGTGTGTATGCCGGATGCCGACCCGACGACGCATCTCGCAGAGCTTGGAATCAGAGCCGGCGGGCCGCAGCCTGGCTGCTTTCTCCGCTACTTCCATTTCTTCGCGTGGCGCGTAGTCGAATCCCTGCTCCCTTAACCGTTTCGTACGGCAACAGTCAGAACACAAAGTATGGGGCAACAGTCGGCCACAAAATAACAATCAACTGGTCAAAGGGAAGTGAAACTAGGGCACCGGGTTTGAGTTTTCTGACTTTGAGTAGCATTGGTCGGGGGTACCAGGCTGCGTTCTGGACCTTGGTTACTTGGCGCCTTTTTCATTCCGTGATTTGTAGATGTGGGACCGACCCAGGTCCTCTGCGTGGCCATGCTTCGGGTAGACCGAGAACGAGTTAGTACCATCTAGGATTCGCTTAGTTAGAACCTTATCTCCGTCGCATAGACCGCTGACGATTCCGGCTCTGGAGGCCGGATGAAACATGTAGGGTCGACCGCCAAAAGCTCGGACAGGATTTTGACGATTACAAGCTGTTGCGCTCACTTTCGGTTCGAGCCATTCGGGCTGGGTGTTTATTCAATATACTACGGTGCCCTCGCATTCGGGAGAATTCGTTGTCGTGTCGCTTAACTTTTTTGGTCTATCCCTCTGTTGTGTCGTTCCTTGTCGTCCCGGTTGTCGTCAATTTCTGTGTTTGGTCTCTATGCTGACCTTTTGTGTTGATTCGTCATCTTGCATGATGTTGCTTCACGGAAGATACTTGGTTAATTCCTACCATTTATTCAGCTACATAACCTCTGTAGAGATAAGACTACGTGAGTGTGGCTAGTAGACTGTGAGGCATCTCGTGTAGAAATTTGTCGATCGTCATGGCTGGTCAGTTTTCACCTTACCGGCCCCTGCTTCTACCTCGTCTAACGTAGGCTATGCTGCTCCTAGCGTCCCAACCACCTTTCCTTCTTCATCTGGGTTTCCCTCTAATTCCTACGGAAGACCAAACTTCTGGCGCGCTAACCAGGGGAAATTGGACCGTTGCTTCGCCAAGACTGTGGCAGACGAAGAAAAAGAAGCCAAGATGAAGGAGGAAGAAGAAAAGAAGAAGAGAATAAAGGAAGAAGAAGAAAGGAAGGAGGAATGGAGGAAGGAGCACGAGCGGTTGGAAGCATAAATGACCGCGAGGTTGGATAAACACATGGAGGATAAGAATAGTGTTAAACTCAAAGAGAAGGGCAGCGAAGAATCTACGCTAAGGGAAGACTTGGAGAAGATGAAGGAGGAAGAAGAAAAGAAGAAGAGAATAAAAGAAGAAGAAGAAAGGAAGGAGGAATGGAGGAAGGAGCACGAGCGGTTGGAAGCATAAATGACGGCGAGGTTGGATAATCGCATGGAGGATAAGAATAGTGTTAAACTCAAAGAGAAGAGCAACGAAGAATCTACGCTTAGGGAAGACTTGGAGAAAATTCACAAGGAGAATGAGAGACTCAGGAATCTGCTAACCCAAGGAGATGACGAAGGTGGGGACTCTACAGTCTCGAGATTACAAAGGGAACTCGCGGTTCTTAGAAGACAAGTGCTGGCTAAGAAGATTGCGGAGGACGATATCTTCGCAATGAAGCAGGAGATCGAGCAACTGAGGACTTCTGCGCTTGCTAAAGGTAGCTTTGAAACGGAGCTGGATAACCTGCGTTCAGAAGTCAGCCGTCTGAAGATCCAGGGAGTCAAAGATCGAGAGCAACGTGAGTTGTGGAAGGGAGAAGCATTGAGACCAGGTAACAAAAGAGGCAGTGTGGCGATCAACATTCCTGAAGGCTCGAAGCATGGGTCACCGAGGCCAAGATGGGCTGATAACTTGAGTGAGGCAGACAAATGGAGGAAGGAGTACGCAAAGATGAAAGAGATGCATCGGGCTGCTAGCATGGAGGCTGAAGTCCTGAAAGGTAAACGAGTTGTCGCTGAAGGTGAGGTGGTTAAACTGAAAGGGCAGCGAAGAAGACTCCCGCTGTTGACCCTGCGCTGCGACGAGAGGGAGGTGGTACTAATCTCAAGACCAGATTGGAAGCCGTTGCGAACCGCTCTGCTAGGAAAGGACTCAAAGCTACCCCGAGACGAGACTGTGAAGAAGCTGCTGGTTGCTCGGACAAGATCAATGATCGCTTTCTCTACATCGAGGCGCAAAAGAAGGAACTCATGAACTACAAGAAGTTGGGACTGGAGATGCTTTGTCGTGAAGCGGGTCTCAAATTGCACGCTGTGGATTTGAGGATCGGGGATATTGCCGACTATCGGCCGGACAAAGCCTTTGGCAAAAAGGATGATCCCGCCTCTGAGAAGGACAAGGAGCCTTCGATCCATGCAGTCTCGGATAACTCCCCTTCTGTTGATGCTGCCTCCGTGTCGGAAGATGGAAGATCTGTGGAGCTTTAGGACCGGTTCACGAACGCGAATTTTTCTGGAGATGGGCTCGCTGTTGTAGGAAGTCACGTGAAGGTGGTAGGTTGGCTACTACTCCAGGTAAGAAGGGTAGTCTGATTGATGATGGTAGTGATGATGGATTTGATGCAAGCGGTGGTAGGGAGTGCTCGGATTTCTTCCTGAGGAATAAGGAATTTTATGCGTTTTTTCGGCTGATTGCTGAAACTAATTGCCACTAACTGCATTCCATGGGCGGGGAAGCTTTGGGGCTATGTTGAGAAAGTGCTTGCTGATGGGATTGAGTTAGAGTCCTGTGATGGATCGTGGGTTTATGCCTTGGTATCACCTTGGTCTCGGCATGTGTATATCGGAGCTACTGGTAGGTCGTTGGCTGCTCGTTGGAACGAACACTTGTATCGCTGTCTCAATAGAGGAGTGATTGATGAGGGGAGAAGGAATCATCGGTTGTATGCCTGGTTAAGAAGATGTGGTATACGACATTTTGCTATGATACCTATCTGCAAATGTGAAAGACCTCTTTGTGGTTGAGAAGAATTTTATTCGGTTAATTAACCCTTGTCTGAACGGTCGGAATGTTCTTTGCAAAGGGAAACGGAGGAGGAAGGGCAAGCGAGAGCGATGTCGTGAAAAGCGAAAATTGGGAAAACTGTTGTCTAATTCTGCGATTGAACCGCATTGTACTTTCAGATCAGCTGCGGGGCACGTCTCTGCATCCTTAATTCAGATATTGGATGATTGCCTTAGTAGATGGATTTCGACTATTGAGATTGATTGTGAAAATGGGGGGCGTTTAATTGATAATTGGAAATTGGTAAAGAGGAGGTTCGATACTTCCAGGATCTGTTATGCCGGTGTTACCAGCGTCTTGAAGAAATGTCGGGGTTCGTTCGTCATCGGAGCATCTATTACGTTTGTCAATATTGTCTCGTTTTGTTCGAAATTGGTGTATTTTAAGCCGTCCCTCGCTCAGCTGTTAGCCGTTCCCTCAAAAAGGAAAGATATGTACAGATGGGAATTTGGGGAGTTGGTGCGTTCTTTTTTGGTTATTCGTGCCTTCTCTGCTATGTTGACTCGCCGCTCTCTTCGTTTAATTTTATTAGGGGTGCTGAATAGGAAGTTTGGCGTCAACGTCCGGAAGAGGGTGACGGTCCGAATCACATACGATCATAGGCTGAGCAAAGCTGAGATTAGGAAATTCTGTAAGGGCTTGATCAAGCGAGCAGACGCTGTTGATGAATGGAAGGACCTCGTGGTTCGACGTGCTCGGGTTGTTTGGGTTAGCAACAAGAGTATTGGGCAGATTATGTTCAATTTTAGGAAGTCTTCGCAGTCACGTGACTTTACTTGTATGTGTGAGTCTTATGATAAAGCTTGGACCACGTCAGGTGGTCATGTTTGTTGTGGCTAAGTAATGCTGACCATGTTCCTGTTTGGTTAACGAACAACCGAAATATCGCGGTTCCGGAAGCTGTTAACTTGACTAAATGTTTGAAGGGAGAACTAGGCGATGCTCCGTTGGATGTAGGATTTAAGGTTCCATTCTTTGGGGTAAATGATTTAGCTGGATGTTTTAATAGGAACAAGGATGAGGAACTGAGTGCCTACGTCCGGGAGGAGGATGTCGTCGAATGGAAGGATACCTTGGTATGCTGCCCCTTGGTTTATAGAGACGGTCTTGATAAGTTGTTTCTGAAGAATGAAGGGTTTGATTTGATGAAGATGGATGAGGAGTCGGTGCTTCGGGAAATGCAGGTAGAATATAAGGCGAATAATCTTTCTGCTCTTGCTAGGTGGGACAAATGTGGGAAGCTGGGGCGGGCTTATGCCATCCCTAAACACAAGGATACTTCTAAATGGCGCCCGATCTGCCCCTCCTTCTCCGAGGCCAATGTTCGAGGTTCTTGAATTGTATCCATAGTAGTGAACGAGATGTTGTGGCAACTTCCCAAAAGATCTCATTTCAATATGCGGAGCACCGATGTACTGCTGCAACAAACTCATATGGTGAATAAAGACGTGAAGGAAGGCGAAGAACTGCTGATTATGGCGTACGATGTGAAAGAGATGTTTTGCAATCTCCCACATCAATCGATTGTGAGGTCGCTGGAGTGGTTGATTGATTTTTGGATCAAGTCTGGTGCTGAGAGGGCTATGATCCGGAAGTCTGGTAAAGGTGTGAAGCTAGCTAGGGGGAGGAAACTGGAAGGGTGGAGATGTGTGGATTTTCAGTTAATCTTGGAATTTGTTGTGTTTGATCTGGCTCATACCTTCACTATGGTAAATGGGGAGGTGCTGCGACAACGCATTGGCATCCCAATGGGGAAGCCATCGAGCCCTGCAATTGCTTGTATGTTATGTGCCGATTCTGAATTTGTGTTCCTGCTTTCTCTGGGTGCCGACCGAACTCTGGTGCACGGTACTCGGCTCGTTGATGATGTGACGATCTTCATTAAATTTCGTAAGAATGACAAGGATAGTGAGAAGAAGGCGTGGAGGGTTTTGGGAAACTTTGAGAAATCGTATGATAGGAACCTTACCCTCGAGTGTACTAACCGAGCTGGCCCTTGGGAGTTTCTGGGGTGCGTTTTGGAAGACCTAAGGCCACCCCTCGGTGTGAGGTGTGCTGCTGTTCTGAAGAACCAGCTCGCGGTCAGAAGTGGTGTTATCAAATTTCAGAATTTGCAGGATGCATGGTCATATTCTAACCGCCGGCAGAAAATGGCGGTAATGACCTCCTTCCTTTACCGAGCTAGACGATTTACTGACATGCAGGAGATGGAGGGTATTTTCCTGCTTTCTCTCAAAGTCGAACTGAGACTTCGTGGGTTTTCAGATGACTACTTTGATAATGCCCTGATTAATTTCTCCATGAAATTTGGAGGACTGTGGGACCGTTGGGTTGAGTTGTTGACAGGATGGAGGTTGCACACTGGACGTGTTTCTGAGATTAGTGAGGATATATGATTAGTAGGGACATCTGGGTTTTTCTTCAAGTGTATGAAGCTTTGGCGGAAGGGACCATGTTGTGTTGTTAATTCATTGGAAATTGCATCCGAACGTGTTTGAGAATGAGGATTAGGCAGGTGCACCGAGTTTGAGTTTTCTGACTTTGAGTAGCACTGACTTTGAGTAGCATTGGTCGGGGGTACCAGGCTCCGTTCTGGACCTTGGTTACTTGGCGCCTTTTTCGTTCCGTGATTTTTAGATGTGGGACCGGCCCAGGTCCTCTGCGTGGCCATGCTTCGGGTAGACCGAGAACGAGTTAGTACCATCTAGGATTCGCTTAGAACCTTATAAGTTGAACTACGGCGACTCGTTTTCTCATCTCCGTTGCATAGACCCCTGACGATTCCGGCTCTGGCGGCCGGATGAAACATGTAGGGTCGACCGCCAGAAGCTCGGACAGGATTTTGACGATTACGAGCTGTTCGGGCTGGGTGTTTATTCCATATACTACGGTGCCCTCGCGTTCGGGAGAATTCATTGTCGTGTCGCTTAACTTTTTTGGTCTGTCCCTCTGTCGTGTCGTTCTTTGTCGTGCCGGTTGTTGTCAATTTCCGTGTTTGGTCTCTATGCTGACCTTTTGTGTTGCTTCGTCATCTTGCATGATGTTGCTTCACTGAAGATACTTGGTTAATTCCTACCAGCCTTGGTGCTTGTCACTGCTCTCGATAATGGTAGGGTGATGGTCCTGAGTGCTGGTCACACTGAGGTAGGATGGTAGGGACAGGGGGTGTGCCGGGAGTATTAATGTGGGGGATGGGTAGGGTAGGTGGCCTATCCTGTCAGGACAACCATTGGCTGCCGCTACCAGCAATCACCGCGGGTCTGGTCCTTGGCCTCTACAACACCCTGGGCTTTTTGGGGAAAAAAAAAATAAAAGAAAAATGGAGAAGGGAAGAAAAATGGTGTCAACAATCACAAACTCGAATCAACAAACGCGGAACACTGCGCTTCATAAGGGAATTGATAGAGGCGGCCAATCTGAGCTACGGCTTCGTGCACATCCCACTCGCAGACACGTGTCCTATCCTCGTTAAATGGGAAAGGGCGCGAGCGTTGATGATCACGAAGTCGTGGCCCAGATGATCTGTCGGTCTCAGTCCACATGGTCGTCGGCTGTTCGTTTCACACGCATCCACCGTTCACAAAACAGATTCAATGTGAACTGTTTCGTCGGAGTTTCACCGACTGACTCATCAGGAGGCTGAACCCTCAACAGTCTGCAGAGCCCCCTAACTGATCTGATTACACTGTGAGTGATAATCCACCTTAACCCCAGCTGTGGTAAAGCATCAAGGACTGCCCAACAACTGATACCCCTCTCAGGTGGTGGGGACCACCAACCACTGCCCTCAAGGTACCTGTGACGAAAATACATACATATTCACATACACATTTATATGTATGTGGCGTCCTGATGGCGTCCTGGCCTATGAGGGGTTTGCCTGATACAGTTAGCGGTCTAATGGGGATGCAGGTAGGGGTTTGTGGTTTGACTGCTCATGTGTGTTGGTTACCTTAGGCTCTGCTTTGGGGGCGTGCTCTGAGGAGCTGTTTCACTGGACTCTCACGGAGTCATCACGACCCCTGGAAAAGGGATCTTGAAGACATTGTTAGGTGTAGGGTTGTGCTCCACTGCAGTTCTTCGAGGACTTTCCTTGAAGAATTGGGGGCTCCACTGGTGTTTTTACTTCTTTTTTTTTCTCTCTCTCTCTCTTTCTGCGATTTAGCCTGCATTCACTGAACATTCCCCTGCATTTACTGCAAGCCCAAGTTCTCTCTCCTCTGTTCTTGCCGATTGGGTGCTGATTCTGGGGTACTTCCTGTTTTTTTTTTGGGGGGGAAAGGGGTTCTTACTTGAGACTAGGTGCGTTCGTATCCTTTTCCAAGAATTCCCTAGAAAACGGTTCAATGTATCAGGCTACAATTCTTGCCTTGGTGGAAATGGAGAGCGTGAATTGCCCATGCTGCGTGGCACTTTTTCCGTATAAGAGAGTCCCGGAAGGGCCGGTAGGTGGAGCCCCACAAATTCTTACTCTTAAATTAAGAAAAGAAAAAGAAATTCCTCGAAGAATGGGCAGTGGGGCACAACCCTTAGTTTATTCTTAAAGCACCAGTACATGGGCACCTGAGCCGCGGACCTGACACCTCAAATTCTGGAGGCGCGAAATGAAACCGCGACCGCCGATCTAATTTATCAGCGGCGGGTGCGGCGTTTGACGTTTCGGCCTCGTTTTCTTGTGGCGACAAGTTTCGGACTGCAAGGCTGGGGCCGTGTACTGGCGGTTTAAGGTTGTTTTCAGACCAGGACTTCCCTGTCCTTTCCTTTTTTTTTTTTTTTTTTCTTTTTCTTTTGCAAGCGAAAAATATCATATGGGGAGCTATCGCTCAAGCAGTGAAACAAACACACCAAGCTTATCTGTCCATTGCCACAGACAGATTAGTAGTTTTTTTTTTTTTATTACCCAAAACAGTGTATGTCCTCTCTCTTTTTGTCCTTTCCAACAAAGATAACAAAAAGTAATAGACATACACAAGTGGGCTGATTGTGGAGTGAGACACTGGGAACACAAGTGGAGCTGATACTCCTGTGAAAATTCTAGCTTCTTTTTTTTTTGGTTTTCTCTTAAAAAAACAACGACGGAAAGTTCAAAGGTTCTTCGTCCTTCGGGACATCCGTTCAAATTGGAACGATACAGAGAACCTAGACAAGATTAGCATGGGGAAAAAAAAAAAAAGAGGTTCAAAGGTTCTTGGCAACTTCTAATTCTTCATTTTTAATCCTTTTTTTTTTTTTTTTTTTTCCTTGGCAACTTATTATTCTTAGAGCATATGTGCGCTAGGACCCTTTTTTTTTCCCTTTTTTTTTTTAATGCGCACTAGGGCTTTTTCGACTGAGCTGTGGACCTGATTGTGGTCAGGTACACCCAGGAGGGAACCTAATTGTGGTCAAGTTCATCCACTAAAGTCTTACGGAGTATATACTCACATTAGGCTCTCAACTAATAACGCTGGTTACTACTCCTATTAAGGCTAATAAAAAAGCTCCACAACGAACGAAGAGCAGCAAAAAAGGAGAGAAAATTTGCTGCAAAATCCTGCTAATGGAGGTATTCCTGCCAATCCCAGTATAGCAAAATGAGCGGCAAAAAAAAAATAAAAAAATGAGCGGCCCCTTCTTTTTGTTTACCTTTTCTTCCTTTTTATTGTTTGGGCCTAGTTGCACTACTCTCCATAGGCCAAGTTTGGCGAGTAGGTGCCTGGTTGCGCTTACTTGCCAAATAAACTTGGCGAATGCAAAATGTGTGTGGCAGACGGCTCGCCACACCGTTGACACAAGCTGTGGAGAGTGAATTTGGTTTCCCTTCCTCGCCTGTGCA